AGACAGACAGACAGACAGACAGACAGACAGACAGACAGACAGACAGACAAACAGGCAGACAGCCAGAGTGAGATATTCAAATAGATAAGCTTAGATAGGCCCAAGGAGCTTAGATTACTTTTAATCTCATTGGATAGGCATTAGAGATAGAGGGAGGGAGAGGTAGGCTATAGGCATACATAAAAACCTAATTATATGCCAGGCATCGTGGGGAATTCAGGCACTCGTCAAAATAATGAAATCAAAGAAATCGACGGCAGTTTTTTGGCCGATGGGCATTTTTTCTTCTAATTTTCTTTTCTGGCACAACCGCAACATATGCATTAGATCTAAAGGCCAAAAGAAAAAAAAGAAAAAAAAAAAGAAGTAAATATTCGGTTTTCGAGGGCTCCCAGGCTATGGGGAAGTTACCAAACTTTGGTGGTAATTTTTTCGTTAAATTTACCTCTCAAACCAGATGACCCTGACCTCCTTTCATCGCAAATGTTTCGACTTCTATCCAACATAGATGGATAAGTTCCACCAAAAGGAAGTCGAATGAACAGACTCTAAGATGATACCAAATACCAATAACCCCATATGCCCAAAAGTTGAAGAGCGCCTGTTATGAGCTTTACTGCATTTTTTTTCTAGAAGTCTTCAGATTTTAATCATTCTAACAGACATTTATCTGTTAAGCCACTTTCTGGGTGTATTGTATGTGTTAAACACCCCCAATAAACACAAATAAACAGCTAATAACTTAAGTTAAATTTCGGAAACTGACAAGAAGGAACCAACTGGATGCCCCGTGTGTCCATATTTTTACGTTCTTCCTTTTCAACTTTTCTATATTTAGTCGTTAAGCATAGTTTGTGTTGTCTAGTGTTGTTTCAGTTTGTTCCTAAATTTGGCAACGACAAGGTTATTGTACATTATCAGCTCCTCTGAAACCTCTAAAATCATGCAGGCACTTTAGTCTCTATCCTGACCCAAAAGTCATATCGGCGTCTGTGTTTTTGTGGGATGGTCTTTGGATATCCACGAGTTTTGTGTATATTTGTCTGGTTAAACATTGTAGTCCTAATTTTCTTGCAAATCTGAGAGTACAATTATACGAACCTTATTGAACCGTTTTGGTACATTTCTCAATATCCGTATGCTTCCACGGTGTTTTCCAAATCCTGCCTGTAATGAGTGACATCTTGCGCATTCAGGCCCCCAATTATACGAGATGCGAATGTCGCAGTTGGGGAACGTGTCAGTGAGCTCTTGAAATCAACGACAAAAGAGGTTCTTGTCCTCATCGAAGAAGTTTTCAGTTGATGCAGGGCATTGTATGATTGTGCTTTTGGCATGAATGTTAATGATTCTAGCAGTCACCAATCGTTCGTTGTCTGGCTCCCACTCTGTGAGACTTTTTGGTGCCATTTGGTCTAGAAATGGGGGAAACACCTTCCCTATGTTTGTCATCTTTCTTGCCAAAAGCCAAAGTTATTGTTTTACCTGCACATTCTGTTCTGCTATGTTGAGTTCACATCGTCCAGCTGTGAACACACATGTTTTAAATAGTTTATTAGTTTTCTATTTCCTGGAGATCTTGAGCCAATTTAGTAGTCTGATAAAGGAACCGAACGCTCCGGAAACCAGTTTTAATAATTGATTTCGCAAATCCTGATGGGAGATTTCAAGGTAGTAGCTTCTGGGGCTGAGCTTTGAACCCTAGCTGTCATATTATTATGTCCATGATGGAGAGTGCTGCCTAACTATCGGCGAGCCGATCGTTTAGCTATCTCATAGATCTATCATTTTCACTACAATTATGTTTTCTCAGGAACGGGCTTGAGAAACCATTGTGTGACCTAAAGGTATAAAAGCAGCGTGATGAATTGTTGCCGTTATAAACGAAATTTAGTAGATGCAATTTCTAGATTCTATATAAGCGTACTGTTGGATCACTTTCAAGTTTGAATTTCTGTTAAACTCAAACGTTATAAAAAGGCGGAAATAATGATAGGCGACCATAGGCACCTGTTGACATCTGAATATTAATTACCAACCCTCAGCAAACGACTTATTCCCCCCCCCCCCGCTCGCGTTTCATACACTATCTGTCTAATTGTGTTCACATACACACACCCACCCACGCGCGCACTCTCTCCCACTCTCACACACACACATACACACACTCTCACACACACACACACACACACACACAGACACACACGTTTCTACCTGTCCTCATCTTCCATTTAGACGAGGTTAATAAAGTTACTACTTGCATATTAAACACACACACACACACACACACACACACACACACACACACACACACACACACACACACACACACATCCATACACACATACACACACACACAGAGAGAGAGAGAGAGAGAGAGAGAGAGAGAGAGAGAGATAGATAGATATATAGATATATAGATAGATAGATAGGTAGATAGATAGATAGATAGATAGATAGAGATAGAGAGAGAGAGAGAGAGAGAGAGAGAGAGAGAGAGAGAGAGAGAGAGAGAGAGAGAGAGAGAGAGAGAGAGAGAGAGAATTAAAATTTACAGAATGGGGTTGTTTAAATACATGCATTTAATGTCCAGTCTTGTTTGTGTGTATTGATGAAACCTGGCCATTGTAAAAAAAACAAACAAACAAAAAACAACATGTGAGAGATTAATAAAGATTGTCATTGTCATGGTCAAACTCTGTTGGATGATTTCTCAGCATCGTGGCCTTACGATGATCACTGGCTTTTTTAGTTTTAGTGGAGGTTTTACCACGCTCGCAACTGCATAAGGTCATATGAGCGTCAGAATATTAGAGGTGTTACAAGTGAGTAACAAACATATAAAAGAAGAAGGGGAGATAAGGAAGGACGATAGATGTTTGATAGGAAAGAAGAAGCAAACTGCACCAGAGCACCCGCCAACCACCCAAGATCACTGGCTAGTGGAGGTCTCCAGTTCGATCATACGTCACACTCAGATACCTGTCATGGCAACAGAAGAGCACCCCTCAAAACTTCACTGGACGCTGACAAACGACAATCGGAGTCATCGAAGACTGACAGGTGTTCAGTTCGGATGAGAGCGGGTCTTCCCAGGAACCTTGCAGCTCATTTCGATCTCTTCAAGACCCCAACTCTATTTGGAGTTTGTGGGACGCTGAGAATAATCGTTGCATTATACTGCGTGCATGTGCATGTGTGTGGAACTAGACCTATGTGCCCGTAATTGTAATGGTAACTGTAAAATGTTTTACAGCCTTTTATACAAAAGTTATATGATTAAGGAGGTGGCTGCTTCGCTTTGACAATGACCGTCAGGGCCA